GAGAGAGAGAGAGAGAGAGAGAGAGAGAGAGAGAGAGAGAGAGAGTTGTTTCAGTGTCCAGTTTGATTTTTACTATTCTTCTTTCATTATTAGCTCTTTGATTCTGCATATTTTAATCAAGATCCAGTGTCACAAATTATGAGGTTTAATGGATTCCAAACATTTCTTCACACTTACAGCCATGAAGATTCACTAACTACCAGTTCCCAAAACAATAAAATTATTTTTCTCGTTGGAAATTGTACAGATGCATCCTCACTTTAACATCCTGTATTAACTCTGGAAGATAAACGTTTTGATAGATAGATGTACTCTGAGCAGGTGAGTTCATTTTCTAAGATGTATGAAGTCTTAAGTGAAGAAAGAAGTTGAATTTGACTAGGCCTATAAAGTCAATCAGGACCCAGTGTGATTCCAACTTATTGTTGCTTCATACAAAGGATCAACCATATATTTTCAATAATATGCCACCGAGCAGCTACTACTATGGCAGTGGTTTCTCCATATTTTAATTCTTAATTCTGTTCAACTATTCTATGTAGGATGGGAGTCATTTCTATCAATAATGGACAAGAAGAAAATATAAAAGAATAAGATTAAGAGATCATTTTATAGCATTATTTCAGGGTTGCTCTTTGCTCTTGATAAGCAGCCATTTTTGTATTATGGTTGGCATTGTCAGATACCTACCCGAAGCCTATGTGAGTGGTCTTCCGTCAGCCCCTCAAGTCTCCTCTTCAGCTCTTCCTTGATATTTCAGGTTCATTTGCTCCCTTGAAACCTGAGAGGAAACAGGAGGAAGAGCAGCTGACCTAGTATCAGGATCTTTCTGAATAGTGATGTGCACTGTGGACAATGGGCAGGGTCAAACAATGGGCACCAGTGACTGAAGCAAGAAAGACCAGTGAAAGCATAGTTTTTTGGAGTTCATCTAACCTGTCCATAGTTCTGCTTAACAATGATAATAAAAAGAAATAAATAAATGGCATCAGTTTTAATGTAATAATGAAGACTAAAGTAGTCTTGCTTGCATATCTAAATGAGAAGAATTCTTATTTAATGTCAGAGATACTCTTCTAAGTCGAAAATGGGCTGAATTTTTTAACAACATTATGTGGCAAAACAAGGAAATATAGGTTTAAGAATAAATGGGTGCTGAATGAACATGGACTGAATATACTGTAAAAGTGATTGGCTGGCACAAAAGAAGTGCATTCAGGTCATATAGAGACCTGAATGCAGTGAGGATCAAATTGCAAAGCAAATATATGAAAAGAGAGTGAATAGGTTGAAAGAAACTGGAAGGCCCAAAATGACATGATTGGAGTTGAGGAGATCTTTAAAAAGAGATGAAACATTTAAATAAAAAAAGATATATATGAAGCAGCATATGAACACAGTAGAAGCAAGATTAATTTGCCAGAATAAAAATGTGTGGAGAGGTACATTGGATGATGCTAGTGTAAAGTAGTTGGCTATGTTTTCCTTTACTTTTCTTATCTCCTGCCTTTAATTTCTTTGGTGTCTATTTCTTTCTCCTGTTCTGCACTCTGCCCAGTGTTGCTTGCCTTGAAAGAGAATAGCCTGATAGGTATCTCTGCATGTTCATTGTGCAACAATTCTCTAGGAATCTCAGCCTCCCTGGCTTCCCACACTTCAGTGAAATCTCCAAGCAACCAATCATGAAGGACTTCCTTCTATGGGCATTTTTCACAGTGGAAGTGTAGTAGCCAGAAAGACATATAACAGAAACAATACCAGCATCTTCCACCAACTCCAAAGATAAAGTAAATTCAAAAACTACCAGCAAGAGAAATTCTACAGAAATTCTCAAGTATCCTAAGAGTAAGGTAGAAAAAGAGCTCTTTTGCAGGGAAAGAAAATCTTTGAAAAACTGAAAGGCAGATTTCAGCACAGCATTCACATAATGAAAATAATATTTATGTTGGCAATTATGGAAGCAATATTATGGCAGAGATTGTCTACAGTTTTCTACAGAGCCTCTGGGTGTCGCTGCTCACCTATCTGGTAGTGAAATAGTTTCAGAGTTCCAGCCAGCCCAGTTTGCAATTCTCTGATACATACTGACAAAATATATGAGAGATTAACATTGCACAGAATGTTATAAAGGCAACTTTTATGTGGAATTTATCAGATTGTAAAGACAATGGGAGAAACACAGAGTCTGCAGAGTTATAAAAAGAAGATCTTCCAATGCCTTATCACAATATTTGTTTGGAAAGCAATTTCTGGGAACGTTCATTATGTTATTAAAGAAGAAACACCAAAAGGCTTTTTTGTGGGGAACATTGCAATGGATCTCGGAATAGATGGCAATAATCTTTCAGAATATGGACTACGGATTGCTACCAGGACAGGTATGATTCAATATTTTGCCTTGAATTATAACAACGGCTATTTACAAACCTCTGAAAGAATAGACAGAGAAAAAATCTGTGGATGCGCAGAGAACTGTGTTTTAAGTTTTGAGGTTATTATTGAGAGCAAAATAGAGATTTACAGGGTTGAAGTGGAAATTACAGATATAAATGATAATGTTCCTCAGTTCACACCTGGGAAACATGAAATCAAAATCAGTGAATTATCTACTCCTGGATCCCAATTTCCTCTACCTGAAGCTCAAGATCCAGATCTGGGCATCAACTCTATACAGAGATATGAACTCACAGGTAGTAGTCATTTTTCTCTGGATGTGCAAATAAAAACAAATGGTGCCAGACAGGGTGAGCTTGTGCTGAAAAAACATCTGGATCGGGAACAGCAATCAATTTATGATTTAATCCTTACAGCTAGTGATGGAGGTGAACCAGTGAAGACTGGAAGTGCTATAATCAAAGTCATTGTTCTGGATGCAAATGACAATGCACCAATTTTTAGCCAACCTATCTATGAAGTCAGCATTGAGGAAAACACTGTTAAAGGCTTCACAGTTGTTACAGTAAGAGCTACTGATCTGGATGAAGGACTCTATGGAGAGATAAATTATTCATTCAAAAAAATCACAAAAGAAGATTCCAAAATGTTTACTTTAAATTCAACATCTGGTATAATAACGATTATGGGGAATCTTGATTATGAAGAATCATCCTTACATGAATTTGAAGTTAAAGCTGAGGATGGAGGGGGATTAAGTGATTGGTCAAAAATTGTGGTCATTGTAATGGATCTTAATGACAATGCACCTGAAGTAACAATAACCTTTTTCATCAATACTTTATCTGAGAATTCACCAAGAGGAACAGTTATTGCCCTCCTTAATGTACAAGATGAAGACTCTGGAGTCAATGGGGAGGTCACATGCTCAGTTCCCAATAACTTCCCATTCCAGTTAAAAAAATCTCTTACTAACTTCTATAGGTTGGTGACATACAATGATCTTGACAGGGAACATATATCAGATTATAAAATCAGCATTACAGCTACTGATCATGGAAATCCACCACTCAGTACAGTCACTGAAATCTTTCTCCAGATTCTAGATGCAAATGACAACTCTCCACAATTTGTAGAATCAAAATATACCTCCTACCTTCTAGAAAATAATCCAAAAGGAGCCTCGGCCTTTTCCCTCAAAGCAAGTGATCCAGACTGGGAAGAAAATGCCAGAATAACTTACTCCATTGTTGACAGCCAAATGAGGGACATTCCTCTCTCCTCCTACCTCTCCATTAATTCTGAGACAGGGACCGTCTATGCCCTAAGCTCCTTGGATTATGAGGAGATTCGGGAGATTCAGTTCCAGGTCAAGGCTCAGGATGGAGGATCCCCACCGCTCAGCTCTAACGTCTCGGTGACTCTCTTCATCTTGGACCAGAATGACAATGTGCCAGAGATCCTGTACCCCTCCCCTCCCACTGATGGCTCAACTGGGATAGAGCTGGCCCCTCGCTCCTCTGAGCCAGGATACCTGGTCACTAAAGTAGTGGCAGTAGATGCAGATTCTGGCCAGAACGCCTGGCTCTCCTATCAGCTGATCAGAGCAACAGAACCGGGGCTCTTCACCCTGGGACTCCACACTGGAGAGATCAGGACCACTCGGCTGTTTCTGGAGAAAGACGCCCTGAAGCAAATCCTGGAGGTTTTAGTGAAGGACAATGGCCAACCGACTCTTTCTGCCTCAGTCACTCTCACTGTTGTTCTGGCTGACAACATCCCCAATATATTGACTGAACTAAACAGCAATTCAGTTTCTGGAGATTCAGAGTCAGATCTCACATTTTATTTAGTAATTGCAGTGGCTTCAATCTCCTGTTTGTTCTTTACCTTTCTCTTCATGCTCTTGGGAGTTAGACTTTTCAAGCGGAAACATTCCCAGCTAGGTGACAGTGGAAGTATTACCTGTGGTGTTCCTGTTACACAGTTTCTGGGGATTGATGGAGTCCAATCATTTCTTCAATCTTATTGTCATGACATTTCATTGACTTCAGAATCTAAGAAAAATCAGCTTCTTTTTCCAGTTGGAAACTGTACAAGTATACTGAAACCACAGAAGGCTCCAGATGAGCCTGATTCTTTGTTAATACAAGGTGATTCTACTCTTACTAAGGAGGAGACCACAAACTATCAGGTGAGGATGCATATTTCAATATTCTTATTTTATTCAGTTCCTTGCTTCTGTTTAAGATACAGAGATACTAAACTACACTTTAACAACAGCTACTGTCTCAGACAGTATACACTTCAGAATATAACTGACCACACCATTTACAGAAAGAAGAAATGAGCCCTAAAGCCATAAAAGGACTAAAATATGGTAAATCACGCATTTCACATACTGATTTTTTTAAAGAAATATTTTTTTAAAAATCCTACAGAAGTTGTTGCATTTTAGGTCTGATCCTACTGTAAATGGAATCCAAATATTATATGAATATTACTCACATTATGTCTTTCTCTGCAAGAATTTTAGGAAAACCTAATTTCACACTTCTAAAGTAAATATTTTGTATATTCTGTCCAATCAACCAGTTTATGAAAAAGGATGCAATTCTAATGATTGATTAGTTGAATTCTAACTATGGAAATGAACAGATAAGATTTCCAAATGAATGATGTACATTTTTACCGTAGGATGCTTAACAGTCTTAATGCTTCTGTATTGCCAAGAGGCTCCCTGGAATGCCTTTTTCTCATTATGCTAAGTTTAGGCAGCTACCCTGAACCTGACGTGGAGTGGGATGATTTGAGATGGTATTCATCAGAGTATCTTTCCAGACTTCTCCTTGAAGCTCCACCTTTGATATGTAGTTCTGGAGCTTAGAACACTGTAATTGTTTTGGTTTCCATTGGGCCGGGTTGGGGTTTTGGCACTTTTTGTCACTAGGGGGAGCAGGATCAAGCCACATTGAAGGTAACGTCTTCTCCATAAATCAGGGGTTCCATTCTGCTCATTTATGAACCTACTGCTGATTAATAATAATAATAATAATAATAATAATAATAATAATAATAATAAATCTATGAATATGGTGACTGCAACCTGAATAACTGTAGTCTATCCTCTGTAATCAAAAGACAAGATTTTCTGTTTCAGAAGCTTGCCTGTGAAACTGATGTAAGAAATCAGGCATTTGTCAAGGAAAAAATAATAATTTCAAAGTATTTATAATTACACTGACATCAGGTTTTTATACTTGAGAAACCATCCCAAGAAACATGTCCAAAATTTGAATGTGACATTTTTATAGGGATTTTTTTCCCCAATCTCAGTTGATGATTTTTAATGAAAGAAAGAAAAAATATTCTTATACATTCAATTTACTTAAAACTTATTGTATTTGCCTGGCATAAAAGTTATTGATGGTTGTGATGATTACGATATTAGAACTGCCATTCAAAGCATGATAATATAGAGCACTTCCTCCTGTTTTATATTCTAGAGGGAGGGAGAGGTGAGGAGTGAAGGATTTGGGAGGCAGGGGTGGAAGGATGGGTCTGAGAGAACCTCAGAGTGACAGGTTTACGAATATATATTTAGCGCCAGGGAAGGCAAGGATTGGCAGCTTATAGATATATTGCAATATTAAAGAAGACTTTTTGCAACTCATGTTAAATTATTAATAACGGTTCATTTTATTTCTTGTTTAAATGTTAACATAATGACATTCTATATTTTCCCCACATTCAATCTAATCATGTTTTCCCAGATACTGTATATATAAAGTAACAGAGGAAAGAAATAAAAGAACATTCAAACCAGGAAAGAGTTTGATGGTAGCAGCAAAACTAGCAGTTCCTTTTGAAATATCCCTGGGTTAAATTAAAGAGAGAATAGAGGGTCAAATCTTAATAGAGTAGTTATGTGGCCAACAGCAGAGCTCTCAAGAGGCATTTGTCACAGAGTTAAGCCCAAGCAAGTTTACATCATGCTGAATGCATCCACGTTTCAGACCAGCTAAATTAAAAAAAGAAAAATGACATTGAGGCAGACTTAGAGACTTCTTTAATAATAGCAGAGATAGCACGATAGCCCAGATATTAGTGGGCACCACTACTCATGTCCAGTCTTTTGAAAGGTGTAGGAGCTTTTG